TTCAGCGACGGGCCAATGCCCAGCCCTTCCGTGCGGAGCAGCACCTCGTCCTGGTCCGAGGAGCCGGCGCTGCCCAACATGGACATCTCGACCGGCCACATGGTCCTGGTAAGGCCCAAACCCGCTCCACGACCCCGCCCACCCCGCCGGCGCGTCCTGTCGCGTCATGACAGTGGCTCGGGGGGGCCCTGCCTAATTCACTTTGGTAAAAATGCAGACTTAAATATCTTCCAAGAAACAACAATCCTGTCGCGTCATGACAGTGGCTCGGGGAGACCCTAGCTGGCTGCGCAGCCGACGAGCAGGGTGTGGCCCCACATCGGGCTCCTCTGCTGGGGCCTCTGAGTGAGTGGCCAGTGTGACTTCGTGCCCTGCTCCTGCCCTGAGTGCCAGCCCCACGTGTGGACCCGAGAGGTTCTGCAGGTTACCGGGTGGGGAGAGCGTGCATTAGCGCCTACTGTGCGCTGCTTTCTTAACCTCCAACTAACAGACAGCACTTGCCCCTCCCCCAGGCTGCCCAGCATGCTCGGGGCAAGTGAATGTCGCTTGCGTGCTGCTCCTGCCGCGCAGGGACACTGGCGGAGGGGAGGGCGCAGGGCTCAGCCTGGCAGGAGGCCCGCGGGCCGGGCCGTCTCCGTGAGGACCCGCCATCGGCCTCTGCAGGGTGGCCTGCTCCCTGTCCACCCGCCCAGCGTGCCGTCCTCAGCGGGACACGCGTGCGTGGCCGTGTCCTGCCGCTGGCACGTGATTAACCCAGTCTTACTAGGAGAGACGTTCAGAGCTCGGCCCCCTTCGCTGCCATCTCCATCGGGCACCGGGTCCGCTCTCTGCCAGGTCGCAGCCAGGCTCCTTCCTGTCTGGCGCGTGTTCGGTCATTGCCCAGACCCGGTCTTCGTGATGGTTAAGCGCTTCCCTCGGTGGGGACGGCCCGACTTGTTTACTTAACGCCAATGGAGACGGAGGACCACAGACAGCAGGTCCCAGTGTGTCCGCGGCTGTGACAGCACCACAGGCTCCCAAGGCTGGAGTCGGGTGGAGGGCCTCCCACTCTGTCCGCCATGGTAGAGGGGAGAGGGCCCTCTGGGGTCCCTTTCACTAGTACAAGGGCACCAATCTGGTCACGGGGCCACCTGGTGACCTCATCGCCCCTCAGTCCTCACCGTCAGCCATCTCGTGGGGGGTAGGCTTCAACATATGAATTTGGGGGACACAGGCTATGGTGTCACCGGCGTGTTCATTTTGGGGTGCGTCGGGGGACGTCTGTCTTGGGTGCCTGAGTCTGCGAGCAGGAGCCCAGGATGCCGGGCCATTTGGGCCAGATGTGGGGACGGGTGCACCGTGCGGCTGGGGGGTAGCCTGCAATGAGGACAAGACCAGCAGCCCACTGTCCGGCCGCGGAGCTGGACACACACATCTCTGCTCTTCCCCGGGGATGGAGGCCGGTCCACTGCGCCCTCCCCTCTGCCAGGGCCCCGGGGATGGAGGACAGCCTGGACAGGGCCACCTGCCTTTACACGCTTCCTCACAGACGCATGTGGCCAGAGAGTGAATCCACTAAATTGTTTTCAACAATATTTGTCCCTTTTAGAGAAGGAAACTCAACCACAGCTCAGGTTTTCAGTCGCTGCAGCGCTGGGCCGTGTGCCTCCGCCACGCTGGCTGGAGGGTATCGAGGCTCCTGGTGTCCACACTGTGTCCAATTTCAGCCGCACTTACAACTGAGGAGGTCTCAGGCCCAACGGGACATGGAAGCACTGTGCTTCCCACGGAGAACCATGGTGTGGCATCGCGGTGAGCGCACGCGTGGCAGTTAGTTCTCCAGGGACATGCACGCGCCGCACACGCTGACCTAGCCTTCACGTGGCCATGGCATTGCCACGCCTAATGGGAGGTGTCCCTGCAGAAGGTCACCGACTCCGAGCCCTGATGCAGCGAGAGGCCGAGTGCACCTCCACCCCGGCCCCCCGTCACCACGCGGACACGCAGCGTGGGCTCAAGGCCTGTCTCCTGAGCCAGCACTGACTCGGGTGTCCCATGGGCCTGGGCAGGAGCCTGGCGATGAAGCGGGAGTGTGCGCACCATGGATGCGCCGCATGGGCCTGCATGGGGGCCGGGCCTTCCTTGAAGGTCTGTCCTCACTCAGGGTCCTGGCCGTCTGCCCTCTGCCCACTCTGCCGGCCGGTTCAGGCGCTCTCCCCAGCCCACGGCTGTCCTCACACCAGGCCTGTCCCTCGCCTGGAGTGGAGAGGCCTGGAGACGCCACACACCTGAGCCCCACGAAGCGTGTTTGCAAAACACCTCACCCTCTGCACGCAGGTGGCAGGGCTCAGCGCTCAGCTCTGGACTCACAGGCCATTTGCAGGGCTGAGGCCGCAGCACGTGGTGAGTGGACCAGAGCTGTGTTCAAAGGGAACGTGAACTCCGATGGCCTCACGCGCAGAGGCTCCAGGACGGTGACCACTGTGACCAGAGGCTGCCGGCGGCCAGCGCGCACTCCCTGAGCCGCCCCGAGGACTCGGAGGCCCCATAAGCCTCGCCAGGCCTGCACCACGCCGGCACGGTGCAGAGGCGCGTCCTACCTGGAAGGTTCAAGGGGACCCACAGCCAGTGGGGGTGAGGCAGACCCACAGCAGAGGGAGGAGTGGCCAAGGCATCAGAAAATGTAACCGGCACAGCGACCTTCCCAAGTGCAACCCGGGAATGTTTCCTGTCGCAAAGCAGAGTCATCGTTACAGGAAGAAGCGGCAGAGGACAAGCCCATCACCCTGCAGCCTGGGGGCTGGTCCGGGAGGAGGCTTCGCCCTGTCCTGGTCACTGTGTCCACAGTAGCGACATGCATGTGCTGTGCCCTCATGCCAGGAAGCCGTGGAAACAGAATCTCAGCGAGGAGACAGCGGCCGGTGAGCCTGTGCTCGGAGGGAGAGGCGTCTGCCGGGTGACGCAGGACGCAGGCCCCACACAGGTGACGGGACCACCGATGAGATCAGTGACCCAGGCGATCCAGGTGGTCTTCGGGGCACCAGGTAACCAGGGCTCAGGGTGAGAGGCCGGCCAGCGCTCAACTAGGGAGGGAGGGTTCCCGGGCAGCTGTGGAGAGGACGTGCGGACAAGCGGGCTGCCCTCGAGAGCCCAGCACATGGCGTGGACAGCACAGACTTGGATCCGATGAGCTTGGCTCAAAACTGGGACCTTCTGCATCCCGGACGCACCTCAACCTGCATCTCACCTGCACAGGCCTCCTCCAGCCCCCCGCGGCCTCCAAGCTGCACGCGCCACCTCGCTGGCCTCCCTCGCCCACAGTTGTCCTTACAGACGCCACAGGGTCGCCACAAAGAAATGGGGCCAGGGCTTCCCCCAAGGGAGGATGTCGCAGCCCAGGACCCGGCAGCGGGCAGGGTGAGGGCTGTCAGGGGCCCGTGGGGCTGGGCAGCCCGGGGCAGGTGGAAGGAGTAGGCTGGATCCGCGCCCAGCACAGGGCCTGGTGGGGAGGGGTGGTGCCCATGTTCGCAGGGACGGAGGACCTGGGCGGAGGAGTGGGGAGGCTGCCAATTTCCCACCTGGCCGTGTCCTCGAGGCCTTGTCACACCTGCCCCGGGACACTCTCGGGCCTGAAACCACCCCATGCCCGCTTCTCACTGCTCGAGGCTTCTCACGCTCCAGGAAGAGCCAGTCAGCCCTACAGGACCCTGTGGGCACAGTGCCCAGTGTGTGCCTGGCGCACAGTAGGTGTTAGTCACTGATCAGCAGGCCCCGCCCTCTCCGCCTTCACGATGAAGGGGGCTCATCCAGCTGCCTCCAAAGTGAGTGAGTCCCAGCTCTGAATGCGGCTTCTGTTCAGAGTTTGCAGGACCCGCACCTGCGCTGAGCCCACACAGCAGGCTGTGCCTCGCCTTCCGGCTTCGTCTCTCAGCGTCGGCGAAGACGGGGTGCTCGCTCCCTCCTCCCCTCCGCGGGCGGCCGTCACAGCTGAGCAGGTGTCCTGGTGGGTTTAACCTGGACCAGGTCAGAAGTTACCGCCTCTGCCTGGCTCCCAGGTCACTGCCGGGTCCCTCTCACTCTGTTTACCCTTCAAGTAACCATTTTTAAGGTCAGACTGACTTTCTTTTTTAAAATTTTTTGTTACTCCTCAGCTGAGGATATTTTCCCATTAATTTTTAGAGAGTGGAAGGGAGGAAGGGAGGGAGTCAGACAGACAGACAGACACATCCATGTGAGCGACACATCGATTGGTTGCCTCCTGCACACACTCTGTCCAGGACGGGGGATCGAACCTGCAACCCAGGCACATGCCTTGGCCAGGAATCGAACCCAAGATCCTTCAGGGCGTGGGGCTCGAGCTCTAACCGCTGAGCCCCCCGGCCCACGTGACGTCCATTTTAACAGGTGTTTTTTGTTTCCGTCACCATTTCTCCTTCATTCTTAGTTTGGGATAAAATTTATTTGTTTTTCTACCTGAAATATATCCTTTTTCAGTCAGAAAATCTACCAAGCTTGTGTCTGGAAAACTTTTCGATTGATCCTCACACTTGCATAGCGGAGGAGCCAGGATCAGATTCCCGTCGCTTTCCTCTCGTCGCTTTGAAAAGACTGTTTTCCTGCCTTGGGGGCCGTCGCTGCGGCCGGTCGGGGCGGCCGGCCGGGGCCCTCCTGCGTCAGGCACACTGTCCCCTCAGTCCGCACCTCGCTGGTCCGGGGTTTCCGTGCCGGGACGGGGCTGATTTCATGTTCTTTCGCCCTGGTCTTTCTGCGCCTTCTGAACTGGGGAAGCCTGTGTGCCATCCGTGCAGGAAACACCACACTGTGTGGTTCAAACGACTCCCACCCTCCCAGTTCCCTCGGGGAGAAGGTCGGGCACCCTCCCCGGCCTCCCAGGGGCTGTCACTCGGCCTCCACTGCTGTCGGGGATCCCCAGCGCTCTCCTCTCCATCTCTCCTCAGTGGAGTCGGTCTCCCAGGGACCCCGCCCGCGGCGTTCCCACACTTCAAGGGCCACGTTTTCACTGAAGTCGTGCCATTCCTTCTCTGTGAAATCGCCTGCTCTGCTCGTCATGTTGTTGATTCCCGCCCCAGCGTCCTCGGTCATTACGGTGCAGTCCCTCACCGAGACCC